AAACTTGTCTACTTGAGGCAAATAGATCTTTTCTCTTTTTTTTTTTTTTGGATTTTTTGCTGTTTCATTCCTCAAACCACAATATTCTCCACACTAAGAAGATCAGGTGAACAAACAATCACTACAGCACACAAAATCTTCTTTCCCCCACAACTCCAGAAACTCTCACATAGCGATCTCCCTGCAACGAGGATATTTTTTGGAACACTTTTTTACATCCCAAATAAACAAAATTCCCCTGAATCTTCCTTCCCCAGTATATCAGGTTTTGAAGGGAACGCAAAGTAATTAGAATGGAAGTATCTTGTAGATGCAGAAAATCATGTTTATAGTATTGGATGGTGGAGACGTAGGGTGAAGCATGATGATTCTGTTTTTGGGAGTGTTTTATATGTTCTTTTTTATTTCTTATTTTCTGGGGTTTTGGGGCAAGGAACAATGGAAGATTAGAGTTTACTTTTGATAGGCACACTAGGTACTCGATCAATAGATTATGTGGGTGTGGGTCGGTTTTTGGCCTTTGTTATGAACCGGGAGTAGTAAAGAGGACTCAGTAGAGTTATGTTTTCACATGAGAAAATGATTGAGAGGTAATTTTTTCATATAATCTTATATAATGCTTGATTTTTTTATTTTATTAAGATTTAAAATATTACATATATTTAATAATTTAATAATATAAAAAAATTATAAATAAAAGTTATTTACATATCATTATTGTGTTACTTGTATCTTATATAAAAATTTTTTATAATGTGAATTAATATAACCTTATTCTTAAATAAAACAATTTACTTTGTTAATAATAATAATAACAATAATAATAATAATAATAATAATAATTATTATTATTATTATTATTGTTATTAACAGAAACAAAAATAGAGTCGCGCAGTTAAAATTCCTTCCCTCCTATACCTGAGGCCTCTTTATCGATGGTTGATGTGAAAAAGAAATGCAGAGGAATAATTAGTGGAGGAATAAATAAGTGAAGCGTCACACTCAAAGAATTTGGTGCTGGTTTCCACTAAATAGATTCATATTTTAATATTATCATTAAGATTTGCTTTTCCTAAGCCTATATAAGGATGGGAATTCGATAGCAAATATTCATCAAAGCAAACACTCAAATTACTTAGGTTCGTGATTTTCAGAGAAAAAAATATGAAAAAGGCCGGTAGCCAGGGTGCCAACAAAGGTAGCCAGGGTGCCGATAAAGGTAGCCGGCTGTGTGCACCAGTCGACAGCGGCGCTAAAAGTGGCAGCTACGCAGGTAACAAGTTGGGCAGTTGTGGTGAAGCTAAGCAGGGATCCAACCAGGGTAAGGTTTGTGGCACACCCGGCGACAAGAAGACTTCTGCGACTGGGAACAGATACTAAGGGTTTGTATGCCTAATTACAGCAGTAGACACCGAATGGTACTAACCCATTCCTTATGCAACCCTATATGTCAATAAATTCTGCTGCTGCGCCCCTACGATGTATTGGATGTGACCTTCGAAGATATTAAGCTATTTTGTACCGAAACGAACTAGTATATAATTGTACAAAAAAAAAAAAAAGAAATGAACTACTAAATATAGCATATATATATATATTCACATATATCAAGCTCTTCTAGTAGGTACTTCAAACATTTTCAAATTCAAATGCATGCAAGATTAAAATGTTGGTCAACGACGAGCTCGTACCAAAAATAGTAGAGCATGAAGACCATTAATATATGAGAAAAGTTTTTATCAAAATCTCTAAAAAAAATAAGAGAAAAAAATTTTAAAATTATATTCTTTAAATAAATTTTCATCAAAGAAATTAAAGTAATATATTTTTAAAATAAAAATGACACCTTTAATCTTTTATATGTTATTAATACGACTTTGTTTCAAAGGTTTAAATGATAAATATTAATATGATAATCCCTTAATATATATAGAGTTCTAATTATATATTTATTACCTGGAATTGCCATTTCTATTACTCCCTAGTTAGTCCCTCCCTATACCTTATTGATCAGCTTTGATTCTTTGGTGAAAGTTGCGAAAATGTAATTTCTCATAAATACCACATACTTTCTGTATTTTCAATAGTTTCTACCAAAAACCAGAGAAATTGAGATTTAGTGGAATCAAATTCTCTTGATTTACTATATAGATTGCCATGTCCGAACCGTTTCTTGGTTTCTCTCGAATCTCTCTCCAATTTCTCCTTAATCTGTAACTTTCCATTATGAACACATTTGCTCTTAACTTATTGATCACGTTCGATTCCTTGGTAAGGGTGTGAGAAAGTAATTTCTCATATATATTCTCAAATATTAGAGGGCAGATTAATTACCTTTAATCGAATCGGGGGCATGTACACAAAGTAAATATTATTCACTTTATTCTCTGATTCTGTTTCCAAATGGTTTTTATTGTTTTTACTTTTTACCCAATGACGTTTAGCGGTGTGAAAATTGGGATTTGGACTTCAACATAAGTTTTGTATTTAATATAAAATTAATCAATAATAAGTAGATTAACTCTTTTTACATTTGATTTGTTATAAAGATTTTTGGTTAATAAACAAACTTGATATGCTCTCCTCTTGTGTAAACTCAAATGGTGAAAATTTAGTGCATTGGCTTTGATACAAGTTTTACATTTAATTTAAAATTAATTGATAATAAATTAAATAATTCTTTTTATATTTAATTTGTGTTTTTTTAATATTTTTTAATATTTGATTTTTTTACTTAACATTCCTTACTCACATTTAAACGTACTAACTTTAAATCCTATTATCGTGAATCTTAAATTATGGAAGTAGAATTAAATTCTTAAGTTATTATATAGATTTGGAATCAAATTCTTAAATTGCCTTATATATCTTACGAATACTTGTCCCACTTGATATTTTTATTCTCTCCAGAAATTCACCTTTTTATTATTATTATTATTAAAGTTGTTTACTGTTTTTTTCCCTTAGCAACCCACTAAGTAAAAAGAAAAAAGTATTAAAAAGTGGGATATGAGAGTGGAACAGAGGATTTGACTCCGCAATAAGGGTACTTCAACATTTCAACATTGATTTTTTCTTCCAAAAAAAAAAAAAAAACCATTTCAACATTGATCTTAGAAAGACAGCCCTCTTTCAGGTTAATAACAAAACTGTTATGGAATTAGTATTTATTAATTTAAAAATTTTAATTTAAAGTTAAAATTAAAAGTTTAAATTTTTATAATATTAAATAAATAAATAATTTTTATTAGATGTAAAGGCATAAAGAGGTTGGCAAAAACTTCTGCTCTTTATTGATAAAAAATTTAATTTTAAAAAAATCACAAGAAGGTGAGTCATTATATACCCCTTAATCATTTCGGGGTCGATAAATTCAATACAGCGTTACGTCAAAAAGAATAAAAAAGGAAAAATAAAGGCCCCGTAAAAATCCATCCCTTCTAGACCTCGTGGTTAATGGTTGATGTAAAAAAATGCGGGGGAATAGATGTATGAATTGTTTGACACTGTTAAAGAATTTGGTGCTTGTTCCCATTAATGGAATAACATATTTTGATGCTAGATTTGCTTTTCTTGAGCCTATATAAGCATCAGAGTTCGATTCCAAATATTCATCAAAGAGAACAAAGCAAATATAATCAATCAAGTTACGCGGGTTCGAGATTTCTAGTGAAAGAAAAATTATGGCGAAGGGTAGTCAATGTGGCAGCAAATCTGGGGATAATCGTGGTGGCAGCAGGGGTGGGGGTAGTCAAAGTGGCAGCAGGGGTGGGGTTAACCAAGGTGGCAGCAGGGGTAACCAGGGTGGAGCACCTAACAAATCCAGTGCACCTAAAAGTGGCAACCAGAGTGGAGCAGCTAACAAATCCAGTGCACCTAAAAGTAGCAACCAGGGTGGAGAAGCTAACAACTCCAGTGCACCTAAAAGTGGCAGTGAGTCCAGTGACAAATTTACCTTTTGTGGTGAAATTAAGCAGGGACCCAACGAAGCTAAGCTTTGCTACACACCCAGCGGCGACGAGAAATGGACTTGGAGCGTGAAGAAGGAGTAATTCTAAGAGTGGCATGCATGCCTAGGACTAATCATAGCAGCAGACGCTGGATGGTATTAAACCATTCCTCATGCTACTTACATATATCAATAAATTCTGCTGCTATGCGCCTACCATATATTGTATCTTACCTTTGAAATCAAGGACTGTTGTAATGAAATGAACTATGTACTATATGTACCGAAAAAATGAAATGAACTACTAAATATAGATGTCTATATTTAGTTATTTACATACATCAAGCTGATTTAGTAGCAAATATGTAATTCAAAAATGTTCAAATTCATACCTAGTTCAAAGTTTAAAGTTCAGGGATGACTTTCTTGTGTGAATCTATTTTCTTCTATCCATGGAAATCTGCTCCAGAAAATGTCCGCATCATACATATGGTTCTACTCTTTCATTAATTGAATTATAAATTTAAATTAAAAAGGGGAAGGGGATGGAAGATCAAGCCAGAAAAAGTTTTCTTGGATCGATATTAATCCTCCAAGTTCCCCTTATATTTACTGGATTAAACTCAAAGCAATAAGTCCCTCTCTTGATTGACTTCTTGGTGTCACGATTTCCTTCTGTATTAATGCATTATTTTGAAAATGCGGCAGAAGTTGGTCCTCTTTAGAATGGGGTTCATATGTAGTAACTTGAAAATCCATCACCACTCAACACAATGGCACTCACCACCAAATGCTTGAAACTTAGATCCAAATGGCCAAACCAAGCTGCTCTTTGGATATACCACTTGTGCGACTTCTGCAGTGAAATTGCCACATCCATTTTAATGTTTTTGCATAGACTAATTTGAAGGTTAGGCCAACTGACAGATATTCAGAACACCAGTGACTTGTCTCTGGTCTCAGTCTCTACTAAAAAGGGACATTCTAGGTTCCCAATCTAAACTCATGGATAAAATGCTCGACAATACAATCAACATGCCTCAGATGTGTCCAAAACAACCCTGTTTTGCGGCAGAGAGACTAATTTGATTGATAATATTTGTAAAGCTAGGCATTGGGTTTAGCATTACTCACATTGAATTGTTCAGATTATGAGAATATCTAATGATGGTACTTCTGTCCTTTCAGAATAGTCCATGACCTGAAAAAAAAAAAAAACAAATGGCCCTTTAAAGAGAACTCTTGGACTTCTCCTAGCACACAACTTCTCCTAGCACACAACTTCTCCTAGCACACAAAATAATGAAAGATTATCCACGGGAATGTGATGCAGGCTCAGTAAAAAGCAGCTAGATTCTATAAGTTTTTCTAACTGTCACAATTCACAAAATCCATTTGCAAGAAACACACATGTTTTTACCACTCCCATTTCTAACAAATATGACCTCTGTTTGAAGTAAACATTATTGATGTGGTTGCATATAAGTAGATATTACTCTTACCTGTAAAGTTGTTCCACGAGCACAACAAGTGCAATTTGATGATTCAAGACCATTGAAGATAACTTGACTGATGTATTAGCACGTTCTCGGATTTGTCTTCCATGACCATAAGGTCCACCAATACAAAATAATAACCTCAAAGCTCCCTGCGAGACAGGAAGAGATAACATGTATAATTTATTATTATGAAGAAGAAAGTGCTTTAAATATAATTTGGAAATGACCCAACCTTGTGAGCCAGAAAGTAAGATGACTTTCAAATGATCACTAGCACTGAATTTTCTTGATTAATTAAAGCCTACCTAAGGAACAAATCCAAATTGATTTCAATCAGGTGATCTTATATTCTCCAGCAAATCAAAGTACATGAAATCATTGGAAATTGAATTGCTCATATTTAGCCATGAGTTTTACCTCTGATATATCAAGATAAGAAATTGAATTGCTATATATAATTCTTGTCACGGAAAAGAGAAAGATTGATACCAACTGGAAATCCAATTTCACACAAAAATTAACATCATTCTCAGCAACCTTTTAGTGAGTTTAGTTCCCTACCTTACGCCCTGAATCTCCGACTAATTCAGCAAACTGCTCAGACCCTATATCCAATCCATGCTCATCCAACATCACAACCTATAAAAGATCCCAAAACAAGGATAAATCCCAACAAGAACAATATCTCCATAACTCTCTAAACCAAACCAATATTGATACTAATAAAAAAGAAAGTTAAAAGAAAAACTATGGAGGGTTTTCCGGACGAGTACCCAGTCATCAGACCTGATATGGTTCATGACAGCCATATCTTCATCATCAACCTGGGCCCTTACATCTCTACATAAACAAAACCATCATAAAATCGTCTAAATTACGTTAGAAACTATAAAAAAGGATTAGGGGATAAAACAGAAAAGGGGAATGGAAGCACCGTGCATTTTTGGGGTTAGACCGAATTAAAACATCATCAACAGGACAGTAGTTTCTGAGCTTATCGATATACCCATCTACCAGCAACTGGACAGCTGGGGACCTCTTCTTCCCCACCGTTATGATCCGAATTGGCAATGCTCTCTACCCAAATAAAGAAAAGCTGATTATTTTTGTAAAAAATTCAAAACCCAAATAAGAATTCAGCTAAGAAACATGGACGGATGCATGGACAGATGGGTTACCACAGATTGACCAACGAATTTGCATTGTTTACCTGAAAATTTCAATCAAAATAAGATTGAGATTAATGAAATGTTGTAGAAAATGAAGTAGGATTGATTGTTTAAATTTTAGCAAAAGGAACTTGGACGAATACTTGAGTTGGTCCAGTGAGGAGTTGCACAAGCGGAGATGGAGATTGCCATGGGAGATGGAAGAGTTCTGTTTGCCGGATGGATGATCTCGTTTCGTGATGGAAAACGACGCCGTATACTTCGTTGAAGGGAAATAAAATCTTCTCAAGAGCAGAGTTTTTTAATTTTTAATTTTTATTTTATCTTAAGAAATATGTATTCGTTTTTCAAGTTATTTTTATGTTTTAATCCACAATTAAAACAATTAATAGTTACTATTCCACACATTACTCCCTTGAGACATGACTTTTGTCAAGTTAGGGCCCTTGCTAATGTTACTAGGAAGAGCATCCGTGGAAGACTTTTCATTGCAATTCCAAACAGTAAACAGTAAAAAAGAACATATTTAAAAATGGCACCTATAATATGCTTATATTCTTTAGTGAAATTGTTTGGATAAATGATTTATTATAAAATAACAGCTTGAAATGAAGCACATTTCATTGTAATAGAACCATGTTTATATCTTGTCTGCTATGGGTTAGGTGGAGTTCAATAAGTACTAATATCACCGGATCCTATCGTCCTTCCCAACAGCACTCTCGCAGATGTTTCTGGGTTTCTTACTTTTCTAATGAATCTCAATTAGATTCGACTCATACCCATCTTAAAAAAAAACTCATAACCAATAGTAATCTCTTCCTGTTGAGTCTCAGTCACCACTCTTACATTCTCTTCTTCTCTTTCTTAACCTCTTTCAAACTAACGATAAATCTTCGTCCCTCTACACATTCTTACCGTCGAAGATGGAGCATCTCCTCACAACTTTAATATCACTTTAATCAGGTGCATGTACCTCATCTAGCTTTCTTTGTCCCTCTCTCTTTCCCTCTCTCGATCCTACGAACTTTGTCACTGCCCTTGTTCTTCTGGTGCAGAGTTAATGCAAGATTGCCATGACCACAAAAATCCTTATCTTTCCTTTTAGGTGCTCAAATCTCAAAATCCAACTCAAACTCTCCTCTTCCATCATCGGCCACCATAGATCATATTTTTGAAAAAGAAAAAAAAATGTAAATAAAGACATTGATTTTATATTTTTTATTTCAAAGTGTTAATTTTATTTATTTTAAAATAAAAATATAAAAAATTTATATTATTAAATAAAAAATAAAAAATTAATATTCTTGTTTATATTTTTTTTGAAATT